CTGAATGTGTTGAAGAAAGTGCAAAGTTGTGAGGAAAACTATCTTCTTATGGGCTCAAACTGTTCTGAGGACCATCCTGTTATGAAGAAGTATACWGAGTGTCTGAGTCAAGAAATGGAAGAGCTGGAAGGCAAATGGTTAAGTACTCCCAATGGTAATAGGGTAGTGTTCTACTTCGAGCTCATCCCGGCTGACATGAAGTGGGTGGCTACTATGTCAGGGGAACTGAATAATTGTTCGCAGTATTTCTCGTCATTTGCCAATGTTTGTCAAGCAGATAAAGCTACAATTGGTGGTAYAATTGGGGATGCRAAGGCAACCTGGCAACCATGGGACTACAAGAAACGACTTGCTGTTGTGAAAAAGGTAATGATAATATTAGTTTAAAAGACCATGATGACAGTCACTCCTTGCTTTTTTAAATTAAGTATGTACATACTGTATAGAATGCATTTCATATTGCCAAGAAATATTTTCTAAACTAAAGTAGTTACTACATGTAAGTAAGGTCTAGTCTTTAGAAACTATTTATAGTTTATTTATCACACATATGAATTGAGCTCAAACTCTTTGATGACCGAGGAAATACATGTAACTGAAAAGATTTAATCAATAGTTCTTAAACCTTTTAGGTTGAAGATTTTAAAGCTTCCCCTAAAGGCAGCAAGAGGACTGAGGTCACCAGTTTTATTGCTAAACAGAAATCTAGACAARAGTTWACCCCTCCACTGGGCAAGTATGTCAACAACATTAAAGCAGAACCTTTGCATGTAACCAACRATGCCTGGCAGCACTGGTTTTTACACCTTCTTTCAATTGTTATTCAATATACTGATTCAAACCAACTTAAGTCAGCAACAYCRTTGTCAGATATGCCAGATAATTCTACTTTAATGTCCTTTTTGAAGTGTTTAAAGGGAACTGCTCATGCTGGTAGACTTAACAATGCTATTGCAAGGTGGTTTAGTGAAAAGAGGAAAAAAGGAATGGAATTTTCTTACAGATTTACTGGAGCTGATTCAAAAAAAATGTCATGGCACTTTCCTACTCTTATCCAAGTGCTATTGGATGTCCCATCACTTACCAGTGGGTCATATGTGAAGTTACTTGGTCTATTCTATATHGCCCTCAAATTGCGTCATGCAGCTGCCCTGTACTCACGGGTAGATATAACCAACAGTCAAGTGGAGGACTTGAAGAGTGTGTGTCAGCAATACTTCACCTGTGTTCAACTGATGCTAGAGAAAGTGAGTCCCACTGTTTGGACTCTTGGCTATGCCATACCSTATCATACAAGACAACTATTTGATAAGCTGGGCTATGGGCTAGGACTGAACACAATGCAAGGCAGGGAAGCTAAGCATATCAAGTTAGCCAAGTATGTTGAAAACACTTGCAACGTCAGTAAACACATGAGGTGGACCACAGTTTTCAGACATGAGTTTGTGTCACTTGTATGGCTTAGGGAGATGGATCCTTACCAAAGTTCTGGTCGCAGAAGAAATGATGGAGAGGTATCTTATGTACCTGAAAAGGTACGTAAGGGTGATAGTGGTACATGTMTGTGCGGTCTGGTTAAGTCAGCTGAAGAGAGGAGCTGCAAGATATGTTCAAGTACATGTATGTCAATGATTAAAGAGAGTGTTGAGAAGGGCAGAGTTACCAATGCGCTTCGCCGCCTTAGTAACTCCAACAGCATCCAAGCTAGAGTGATTTGATATTGATTTTCATAATTATTTCCTCACCAATAGAGGAAATATACATATGCCTTGGGTTGGTATTGAGAGCTGTTGTTACTATTATTTCGCATTGAATTTTCCTGCATAAATAAATGATTAAACARAGGGTACTTGAAGTTTAAAAATCCTTCAATTTCTAATCAAAGCACAGCATATTATATTTATATATTTATGATATTTATATTTAAATGACTTTAAATGAGCATAGTTTTAAAAAGCTTGATTGTTATAATCTTATGATGCATCCAATAAAGTGATATTATGCTAGTTTTTGTAAATTATTGGCTGACTTTGCAACAAATAAAAAATGTTMATGCAAAAAGAGATGTTCTATGGTGTTTGTGAAAGTGCATATGASCCTAAATAGAGTACAAACACTAAAAGCATGCAGAACTTTGTACTATTTACWMYAAAATAGTGCAAATTAAACAATAGAATTAGCATAATTTAGCAGTATTTAGTGGTATTTATGTTGCACAGTTTTAGTGTTTGTACTCTACAATCACAGTGTATCCAAATAATTATAATTTCAATTAAAACAAATAAAAAAATTCATATCAACCAGCAAACATGGTCAATCAATTGTGTTTAAYGCTGAGGAAGACCAGACGAGTTCCAATGGCCATAACAGAAACTTACATTAAGTGTTTCAGTTGTCTTATGGAATTTAARTACAAATGGTTTAGTTTTTGACACTACAAGTTTTGTGACTTTGATATCAGCACCTTGTTTTTTCCCAATGTCCTTTTTAGCAACTATTTCGCCGTCCATATTTTGCCTATTTAGTATATAAACAGCTTTCCTCAAGTCGGTCACGGTAACTACAGTGAAAGYATTTGTTTCCTTGATCTCGTRCCCAAAACCATTTCTGYTGATAACTTTATTCAATAGCACACCAAATACCTCTGAGGGAACATCAATGCTAAAGTTTCCTTGCCAAGGGGTACAGACACTTGGGTTTTCCTTTAGCCTTTTCACTATTTTCATRTGTATCTTTTTCAAAAGCTTCGTAACCATTGATCTCGTGTTGACAAAGCATTCCACACTTGCAAACGCTGTATTCTCAGCATGATATTTTGCTTCTAATTCTTCACAGTGATCTCCTAGCTCACGAAAATAGGCTCCAACAATATCTGAGTTTCTTCGGTTATTGGTTTTCGAGAGGTATTCAGATTTCATACGCCGCAACAGTGGCAAAATCTTCTCCGATGGTTTGTCCACGCTAAATGGCCACTCGTCCGCCACTTTGATTTGTTAGATTTCCCATAAATCCCCGCGCGCCGTATGTAGTACATTCGAGGGGTGGTCTGGCGACGGCGTGCTACACAAAAACCTAAACTTATTCTCTCAATTGTATACTGCTCTTCAAAGCCGGGAGGGAAATATGAAAGAGTTATTTTTTCTACCTTAGAAGCCCCACCGACTCAGTTTGACTGCGAAGTGCTAGATGTCGCGGTGATTGTTCACTGTCTTTCAACTGTTAACGCTATAACATTTGAAGACTACGCAGACAAAGTCTTCATACCACATCTTCAGCAACAGCTCCGCGAAAGCAAGCGATTAGATTTAGTTTGGGATACATATGTTCCTAATAGCCTCAAGGATGCAACAAGGGTAAAAAGAGGTCATGGAGTAAGAAGAAAAGTATCTGGTCCAGCAAAGCTTCCAAAGAACTGGATGATGTTTCTCTGTGATGCCGATTACAAATCACAACTCTTCTCATTCTTACAACTAAGGTAGCAAAGTTATCGTGGGCTCTTGACAAARAATTATATGCAACACAAGGTTAGAAGTAAATATATATCTAAGAAGTATGACAGTTATGTTGACAGGTTCTTTTTATCAATATCAACATTACATTTACAACATTATGGGGATTATTAGCTTGCTGCATTTTACCTTTTGCTGCAAAAACGTTTCTTTAAAAATTGCTTATTTCATCCTTATTAATTTTTACGTTATATGAGGTGAATTTCTATAACATTTATCGTGTTGTTTTCTAGGAGAAGCAGTGGTATCCCATGGTYCACAGCACTTGATGGGTCARTGTAKCCATGAGGAGGCAGATACGCGTATTGTTGTCCACATACGCCATGCCTTGGAGGGAGGTGCAGAGTATATTTTAGTTAGTAGAACAGTTGACACTGATGTTGTGGTCATTTTGATTGGGAAGTTCCATGACCTGCTACGCTACAGTCCACAAGCAGACATCTGTGTTGCGTTTGGAATGAGACGACACTACTCATTTATAAGCATAAACAGAATATGCTCTAATCTTGGAGAATCAAAACCACGCTCACTTCCGGTGTTTCATGCCTTCACTGGATGTGACTGTACCTCATCATTTTGTGGCATCGGGAAACTGACAGCATGGCAAGCATGGAAGTCAAATGACGACCTTACTCCTGCACTTGAACACAYTTGAACTCATCCCTTTCAGCAGTTTACTGTTTCTTCAGATGCATTCAAGAAGCTTGAAAGAATGACAGTAATCGTGTATGACAGACGTAGTCCGCTTGAATGTGTAAACGAGGCTAGGCTGATGCTGTTTTCAAAGCGTAACCGGGACTTGGAACATATCTGTCCAACACAGGTATAATGCTGACATTCAGTATACGTTAATAAATTTGCTATAATGTTTTTTTTTGACATAAAGTTCTTTGATTGTTTGTTTGTTTATATATTTAATCGTTCATTTTTGATTGTCGGTTGCAAAGACAAGAACAAGTAAATATATTTATATCATTTCTCTCTATTTTTAGGATGCACTGTTACAACATGCCAAAAGAGCAGTCTACCAARCTGGAATCTGGACAACATCAGATCAGCCAACACCCAGTGTTCCTTCTCCATCCCAGTTCTCGTGGATCAAAGGTGACGATACCTGGCAACCACTATGGATATCACTTCCTCAGATGATGCAAAGACATGGCAAGAGGGAACACAGATTAATTGTTCCAAAAAAGCTGAAGAGTATGGAATAAAAAGATCAGGTTCTCCAGACGGTCTAAAGAATGCTGGACAAACAGTGAAGGCATTTTTACAAGGACATGGAATTGATACAGAGAAGTTCAAAACAGCAAAAAGGCCAGTGGGTAGTCTCACAAACAAAGAAAGTAAGCCGAACTAAATACTAATGCTAATAAATAAATTAGTATGCATTTTTACTTTGAAACACTGTATATTTTGATATTGTATATTTTTAATTCTATGCTATTTTAAAGCATTTAATGTCTGGGTTGATAAATATTATTAAAAAGCAGTCTGTTGTTTCATTATACTAATATTCTAATATTATATTTCAGATGTAAGGATACGCAGGGCAGTACATAAACAAAAAGGGGGTACTGTTTCTGTTCCTCTTCCAAGAAGCAACAGCACAATAAAACAATCAATCAAGGAAAAGATTGCAGATAAAACATACAATATTGGTGTGCCAGTTGTAGAATCTGAACTTACAAAACTAATACTTGACCAGGAAGGACAAGTTTAGAAAAAGCAAGTTAATGTTCAAGCCAGAAAGATACCACTAGACTTCACGCGTCTATATTCATTCGATATAATCAAGTATGTAATTGCACTCTTGCTTGAATACTTTGTTTTCGAAAATGGCTTGACGCGGGCTCGAAACGTTTCAAAACTCGCTACAAACTCGACATACTTTTTTTCGCTTTTTTTCAACTGAGATGAACTCCTATATTGAAATTAATCTGCAGTAGTAGCTACAGCATTTGCTGAGCCTGCGTGCTGCAAAACTCTAACAGAGCCTATAAGAAGCTCTTTATTTACAAGTTTTAGCGGCAAATTTAGCATCTTTTATCGCACAATTAGTGCTGTTGTTTATTGTTCAAAATTCTGTATTTCGTGGGCTGTCACTCAAATATCTTTTGTTGTGATATATTAGCCTATACTATCAATCGTTGATGCGTGCGTACTTACGGTATGCCAAGCTCAATTGGTTCCCACATTGATGATACGTTGAATGCTGTGCTATAAAAGGTACGTATTTTAGAGGCAAGAAGCAGCTTGGCCAAAGATAGGGGTTATCTTGTGCGCGACGGCGTGTGAATGGTCTTGGGGCCGGTAATTCCCTCCCATGCAACCAAGCAAGCCACCGTGAGTTCCTTGATAAACAAAGACCTAAAGAAACAGTTGGGTAAAAAGATAAATTTAACACCTTTTAAAAAAACAAGGTCTCTCACCTTTGGGACGTTAATCCTTCGTCGAAGTAAAAAAGGCACAGGTAGCCCAAAACTTCAGAAGTTATCTGTCAAATAATACTCAAGACACATGAAAACTGTCTTCATATTATTTCAATTCTTAACGTATTAGGCATAAAAAGAAACGTTATTCTCTAATATTAATTTATTTTTTTTTATACAGATTGGAAAAAAGGGCCACAGCCAGACATAAATTTCATGTGCCAGGCTGAGCTTAGAAACGGTTATAATTTATTGTTAACCCTMGTGAACTCGGGTTTGCATGAATTTGACACACTGTGTCCATCATAGAGTCGTCGTGCGGAACATGGGAGTGTTGTGTTGAACGTTGTCTAAACGATTTCTGTAATAATAGTCCAAATCATGTGTCGAAATACCTCAAAATGTTGATTTGCATTCAAGGCTTTGCTGAGATTTGTGGCGCAGTTTCGATCAATCAAGAAAGTTTATTGCCTTTATGCGCCCAAAATCTCATTACTCATAAGAATTCTTTATATAAATACATCCAAATCAAAGTATTTCTAAAGCGGTTTACCCGAAAACGAACACCAAAATTTCTGCAGTATATTGAGTTAWGTTTCTTTGCTGCATGGTTCGGCAACAAAGCATTGATTAAAATGATTAGAGCTACAACGTCAGTAAAATAATCAATTAATGCACATGAAAAACCCGACAACGAACTTCAAAATTTCTGCAGTTATTGAGATAAGTTTGCTGCATGGTTCGGCAACAAAGATTTAAAATGATTAGAGCTACAACTATTTAGCGCGTCAGTGAAATAACAAAKAAATAAATGAAGAACCCGAAAACGAACTTCAAAATTTCTATATTGAGATAAGTTTCTTTGCTGCATGGTTCGGCAACAAAGCAAATGATTAGAGCTACAATTATTTAACGCGTCAGTGAAATAAATAAATACACAAGAAAAACCCGAAAACGAAAAAGTATATTGAGATACGTTTCTTTGTTACATGGTTCGGGAACGAAGCAAATGATTAGAGCTACAACTATATTGCGCGTCAGTGAAATAATAAATAAATGAACATGAAAACCCGAAAACGAACTTCATTATTGAGATAAGTTTCTTTGCTGCATGGTTCGGCAACAAAGCTTTTAAATGATTAGAGCTACAACTATTTAGCGCACCAGTGAAATAAATAAATACACATGACCCAAGCATTGCATTTTATGATTTTTATCGTACTATAGTGWYATTCAGTCAAAACAGCACATTTATTGCTTAAAAGTACCTTAAATCATTTATGTGAGGCGCAAGATACAAATTCCTTGCTTGGACCCTATTTTTGTTAGCCTAGAAACTGAGCGTCGACTTTTGTCAACACTGAA